ATTTATTTATTTATAGAGATTTATAGAGAAACCATTATCTCTAGTATCCTGATAAGGGTATTCGTAGAAGTAAACCTACGAGTATCAATCATCGCTGGAGGTCATCAATAACTAAAATGATTATTGACCGTACTTTAATAGCATTAAGTAAAGTATAAACAAACAACGAATGCCCACTTTCGCAGATAGATATATACAGGCGTGACGTGAGTCACGTATAGTTCATGTTATCAACAGTTCAGTTGAACGATTTTACTTGCAGGTATAATTTCACCAATAAAGCATACATACATACAAGTGTGAAAAAGTAACTTTGGGTTTGCTATTTCATGTTCGAAGACCTCGCCAATCAGATAAAAAGTGTTGAGTACCGCGAAATTGAGTATGATTTTTTTCCATACAAAGTTGATGCATAATGGTTTAGACATCCTTTGAGTATTGGCCACCAACGTTATACATTTTGTTGCATCTACCACAACATTCCCCAATAAGTGGCCAAAATACAAAATATACTTCATGAAAATTTATGTGGGAACCACAATTTTTTGTGTATTCAGATGATGTACCATAAGTTTCGCTGGGAACACATCCCAAGCTCATTAGCTTAATGCCCAAGAAATAAATTTCATGCATTTTTTATCAAGATGTCAGTATTGTCCATTATATCAATTTCGTTTGGAATGCGTCCAAACGCATTATTTCAATACCCAAGGAATGAATTTGAGGCATTCTTAGTGACCAAAATGCTTACATTGAAAGCTTACTGATTTGCGACATCAAAAATCCGTACACGATTTTCAAACATTTTTTCCTCTAGCATTTTTTGAAAGGGATTTTGTTGTACAAAATTTCTCCGAAAAGAAGAGTAAAATAGATGAATCCGTCCATAAATAAAAATGTTCACCATTTCGCTAAAACTAAGCAGCATGTGTTGGTGAATCAAGAATCAAAACGCAACAAGTTTAAAATTGGGAAGGGGAAATAAAATTCCTTTCTTGGTGCAAGCCTCAACACCACAACGAACCAAATAGCGAAAAAGTAGCTTATTTTTGTCGGTTCATTTATTATAATCGGTTATTGATTTTTGTACTTTTCAATTTTATGTGAATTGATCAATTTATTGATCAATTGTTGTCATTGGTATATTATTTTTTTTATCTTTATTTGTCCGTATACCATAAATAGGTTTTGGCACGTCAGTAAATATAGTAAATAATAAACTAGTACAATGCATAAATAAAAAGAATAGAAAAACAGTTTAAAATTTCAAATAAATAAAAGTTAGACAAACCATGTGGCTAAAACAAAATAATACAGATTATAAACAATTTAAAATTTTTGTTAAAAAGAGACAAAACAGAGATAAAATATAAACGAGTAAAGGTAAAAATCGCTAAAGAGAATAGTACTACACAGGCACACAAAAGTAAACAAACAATGAGTTATCATTAAAATTATTGAATAGTTCTCCAAGGCGTATGTAAATATTCAGTAACATTATAAAAAGAATGACTTAATAAGTGCGCCTTAACGACTCTTTTAAATTTAAAAAAATTGTAAGGTTTGATACAATCAGGAACGATATTGTATAAGTCGACCCTTACACTGCTATTTTTAGACCTACTTAGTTTATAAAATAGGACTTTTTATTATTTTTGCTCCTCGTGTAGAATAGTTGTAAGAGAAGTCATTGGTTTCAAATTTATTTTTGTTTTTATGAATTTCCAATATGGTGTAATATATAAAAATAGATGGAAGAGGAATATTTAATTTTTTTTAAATAGGTCGGCAGTGAACACGATAGTCAGCATTTACGATTATACGGATTATTTTTTTTTGCAATAAAAACACCTTGTTCGCTTTGGAAGAGTTACCCCACAAAATTCATCTTAAAGAAATAAAATCCGCTCCAAGCTAGAGCTACAGCTCGTACAAAACTTCAGAAAACATTCATACTAGTCCGTATATTGGAGTGTGAAGAGTTTCAGGTTAGGTAGTAGATGGCGTAGTGTTTGAAGATAAGCACACGCAGGGAAAACATAAAACGTCACCAAATTATGGTAAGTAGAAATATCCAGCACTGCAAACAGAAATAAATCAAAAGATTTCACGCTTGGATCTTTGACATTAATAGCTACTGACAGTTTGACAGATTAGTTGGCAACAGAAACTATACCAGCTTACAAAATTCGCCACTCGTTTTATTTTTCAGTGTAAAACTGACTCGTGTTTTAACCAATCACAGTGAAGTTGAAAGCTTCCCTACGCTTTCTATCGCCACCTTCTTACAATGAATCGAGTACATATTTTACGATTTAAATAAAATTAAAATCTTCGTTTTCACATAGGTTTAGCAACAAGATAATGGTATGAAAATCAATCGATCAAGCAATCGAGTTTGACCTTTTTCCCAAGAAAATTGGTGCATAAATATAACGATTGTAACATCTTTTGGATAAAAATATGTTGCTTATCAAAAATGCATATGAATCACTTCTCGAGCACCATGCCATAGATTTTAGTCTTTTTCCTTGGTTATTGGATAGTTGCGCATCTGAAACCCATAAGTTTCGTACAGCGAAAACCAGAAGTCGATATGGGGTCTAAGGCCTAATCTATAGTGCGGAACGACAACAGAAAAGTGAGGTCCACAAGCGCTCCATCGTGGGTTGCGCTAAAAAATTACAATAGCACAAAAGTCCACAATAGAGTTTGTTCTCTGCAATGAAGTGCGAACGGCTAACGTGGGACGTACGTACAACCTGACTTTGTATTTAGCTTCGGAAATATAAAAAATCACACAACCCCGCATAGACGATGTGATAATTTAACGTTCCACGGGTGATTTATCTCCAAATATGTTCAAATAAACGCGGAAACGGGTGAAAACTTTGTGGCAGTTCGACGCGAATAATCCATCGTGACGGATAATACGATTTGTATAGAAGTTTTTAAAAGTCACTTTATTTACCAAAGCACCCTTACAAGTTCCGAAAAATTGTATGTGCGATCGGCCGTAGTCGCAACATGTAAAAAAAACTGACCAATAGCGCGAGTGGGAGCCGAGCTATGGGCCATTAAGTATCTTAGCGAGGGCGGCGGCCACCGAAACCGAGCATATCTTATCAAAAATAACAAGGAAAGGGGCAAAGTAACGCATTGTCAGTATCCAAAGTCGTAGATATTTTGAACACATAAATGTCAAACCTCGTATCAAACACCAAATTTTCGGCAAAGTTTCTTCAAAATACACGCGCCCGCGTAGTTTTAAAATGCGGCGCACGAGGCGACGCATTTTTACCACTCATGCAATGAGATTTACTTACAAAGTGTGTATCGAGATACTTATTGGTCCTTTAAGCCGAATCAAATGTCTTTTCGCTTTTTTTTTCCCTTTTTCAATATTGAAATAACGTCTAAACTAAACGAACACAAAACAAGATTTTCACAACGGTTAATGAAATAAACGACGGGAAAACAATAAAAAAAAACGTTTGATACCAAAACCGCGGTAATAGGATCGTTAGACCCTTTGGTTAAAATCGAGGTTAAAATTCATTATCTAATGAAGCTCCTTTTTGAGCTTTTTGAGTCAACTCAACTGAGGTTTAATTATCATGGTGTTTATTCAGATTTTAGGAATGCAGAAAACTCGAGGCCCTTTCCGAACCATACATTTTCCAACACGATTCTTCAACAATTCTTCAGAACTTTGTTGTAAAACAGACGGGAAAAAATGTTTTAAATATTTTGTAGCATTGGTGATAGAATTTAGACAAAGTAACTTAATAATTTATAATTTTGACGGTACAATTGCAGTTTTAGTAATAAAGAATGATCCGAGGGATGTCTCACTATTGGCAGTATGTGCTCCTTTAGTGTACTAAATAATCACGGAATTCATTACGAAATCAAAGAATTCTTCATAAATGGTGTATTTTAGTCTCGATTTTAGATACAGCCTTATTCAAAATTTAATTTTGTAATGTATGAATGTTTTATACAGGGTGGTGCCTAGCGCAACGCAGCATAGGGATTTCAATGGTAATTTCTTTATAGTCAATTACTAGCTCCCCTAATTATTTTAGAGCAAAATTCTAATTGTTTTTTTTAGAGACAAAAATACTGCATCTGTTCATACTTTTAGTTATAATTTGCCATTTTTCAAAACCGTAGAAAACGACAAAATAAAAAATTATATTTTTATAAATCAGTGATGCTTTGGAATCTTTTAACAAACTACAAGCGCATCGCATTTAAGTTATTGTTCTTTGACGTCGAACGATTTTCATATTTAATTCTGTTTCGCAATAAAAGGCATATTAGGGTAATGTTTTTTTAGAGAATGTATGCTGCATCTGCATCAGATACTATTTGTTTATCAGAGAGAATCAGAGTACCTACATAATCGAAGAAAAGAAAACTGATTTGAAACAGATTTGTTCCTAAATTTATATTATACATTACTTCTTGGACGCAGTGTATCTCAATTAACCTTATATTAACAAATTATAGAGCACTCAGTGATAATCGTTGATAACCTATGGAGTTCATTAGCAGACAAGGAATTAGAAGTACATGGAATTCACATGTCACCCCTAGAATTTTTTGGAAGTTGTTCCGTGAGACACCCCTCGGTAATCATGAACACCCTGTATTTGCACTGTATGTGTGGGTGCCACACTCTACGAAAAAATGTTCTGCTATAACACATAATGTACCTTTACAACCTATTACTCTGAATGTGCCTCCCCGAGGAGTCCCTCTTTTTTTCCAAGTCGCCTAACTTAGCCCCAGTACTACAAACCTAATAAAAAAAAATTAGGTAGGTACGACTTATGGATTTTAAATAATGTAAACCACAGCAATGACTGGCGATTCGATTTTAAATTACGCTGCAGTAACACCCGCAAACCATTGCGTAGTACACGATAAATAGAGCTCGAAACACGAAAACTACAACTTCTTGATCTACTACGTAATATCAGCAACGAACTCACCTGATATGTGGAATACCGACACCACCATGTAGTATTTTATATAGTTTACTTTCATATAACAGTTGAGGGTGCCTCGCTCGTACGGATTCCAATTTTACAGCTACTTCCTGTGAACGAATTAATGCATTAATACAGTGTTGAAATTTTAATTTTTTTGTGCAATTGATAGTAAAAGTTTTAATTCGTCCGGCCTTGATTTTATTAAAGACTTGTCTTTGTGAGTAGTAGGTGGTTGGTTAATATTTCGCAATTCTCTGATTTGCAAATATGCTTAAGTAATGGACTAATGGTAATTATAATTTGAGAAAAGGGTGCAGAATCAAAGAGGTGCAAGAAAGGTGGGTGCTTAGGTACAATGGGAGGTAAGATCTCTTATTACTTTTCTGTAACCTTGCAGAGAAGTAGGGTATTTTGAGTACTACAATAGATGTAAAATAGGGACATTAAATAATAACAAAATTGTGAAATAAGTTTGCCAGTGCTTGCGCCTATATCCTGGTAGCTTAACCTACTTTTTATACGTTGCAAAACACTAGTGTTCCTTAGGTTGTAATGGATTTTATAACGCTACTACGTGAAAATTTATCGCAAATTAGCTTCAGGTAGAAATTGTAATCGCATGAGGTGTAACGTGATAAATAAAGAACGAAATTAAAACCGATATGTCTGCCAAAGTAAAGGAGAATTGCTGTGTCAAAAAACTTCCCAGTTTTGAACACAATGCGGATTATTACCAGAAAATCTCACACCACTACCTTTTTAACCTAAATTCTCGTCGAAATAAGCTTTAATTTTAAACAATATTCACCTCTCCATTTGTAATATTGATGCCCAAGTAAATGTCACCAAAGGAGCCACTACCGATTTTGCGAACTAAACGATACTTTCCACCAACTATAAATTCAGTTTTAACGATCGTTGAAGACGACATCATTATAATTTATTAACTGTCTATATATACGAAATTATTTATAATTTTGAATAAGAAGCCACAAATATTTTGTTCACAAAAACTATCACTTGTTCTTACAACACGCCGACTCCGACATTTCTCTACTTCGCTGACTGATCGTTGCCGTGACGTCACGTCACATACGCTATCTTGTGGGATTTCGTAAAACCATCACTTTTCACGTTATTTAATTATTTACAATTTGTTATAATTTCTGGGAGAAACTGAAACTAAATTTAATAAAACAAGTCTATCGACAAACGAACTGTAGTGAAACGTGTTATAATATTAAAACATTAACAGTTATATGTCACCGACATTAGGTTATTTGTTATAAAGAGAGGGCGCATCCTATGATTTCTTCGAAGTGTAACCTGCGCTGTTGCCACTTTTTACTTTTTCCGACAAAAGGCAAAGCTATAAGTAAGTAGCGCGAGCATGCGTTTTAGTCACAGTACTCCAAGGGTTCACCCCCGAAACTCACAATGTAACCACTAACCACAATTTCAGTTTTATGAGCCAAAGTAACCTGAGACAAAAGTGATGAGAACGTGGCAGAAGCTTACAAGGATCATGTGCCGAATTTGAGTACAAATTTGAGAACCTTGAGGATGCTTTCCGTAATATTGAGAGTCTTCAGGGCAACGTGAACGAAATTCCAAAGTATCAGGACTCAATAATTTGAGAGGAAATTATTGATGGGAAATTTAAGGATAGAAGGGGAACGCAAGGAAAATTTGTAGAGAGTAAGCTTGGAAAGAACCGGAGGAGCGGCTCATGGCGAAATTGAGAGAAGCTTAGGGGAGTAGTAAAGGAATTTGAAGATTTGAAAATATCTTGGAATTATACTCTTTGGTTGAAGGCAATTTGAGGGGAACATATACAAGTCAACTGCATTGTTTTTGTCTAAACTCCAAATTGAACTATTTCAACTCGTGTAAACAAATTTAAAGACATTATAAATCTACATTTATTACTCAATCCACCGGAAAAGTGATGGGAGTTAGACACGGACCTCTTTTTTTTTTAAGAGGTCCGTGGAGTTAGAGAAGCTTAAGTACAAGGACTTCAGTGTCGCTTGAAAACATTTGAGAATCGTACAAGGAAATTGAGAGAAACTTCAGCGGAACGTGAAAGAAATTTTAGAAGAAATATAAAGAGTCTGAATAAAAAGAATCAAACGAAACCGAAGAATTCAAAGAAACGGAAGAATACGAAATAGTTAGGTATCTTAAAAATCATAAAACCTTTTAAATTTTTTGTTATATATTTCAAGAGTTGATGTGTGTAGACTCCATTGGCAATATTCCATATGGTTTCTGTTAAAACACCCCATGACAAGTACGGGCATTTCGACATTTGTGTTGTTGAGTTACTTTCCCAAAAGACTTTAAAGTTTGGCTACCTGCCCTTGAATGGGAGTGTGAAAACTGAAAACAATTCTTATCTCGACAAAATTTGTAATAAGAGTGTTAGCTTAAAGTCTGAACCCCAACAGGATGCCATGCACATTATGAGAGAGCGTATAAGCATTATGTAATAATATACAATGGTAAGAGTGATGGACAGACAAAGTGTACATTTCTTATTAAAGCCGTTAAGAGAAAGAGACGTGGCAACTGTGGAACACCTAATGAAAGAAAAACGTGATTCTGACGTTTGGTTTTAAACGAAATATCCCTAGACATCTGCAATAATTTTAAAACCCAAAATATAAATTTAAGTTAAAAATGTCGCTAATTAGGATAAATCCGCTTCGGATTTTAAATCAGGTGATTATTAAATCCAACTAAACATTAAGAGTAATTGGCATTAATGTTTTAGGTTCCTACCGCTATTTTTACAAGAAATATTCATGTCACTCCTGCTGCAGTAAGTATTGTTACATAAGTTTCAAGCAATTATTTTGATAACCTTTAACTGTAAATATTGCACTATTTTATCGAAACAATCCATTTTAACACCTACACCATTGTTTGATTTAACAGGCCACGCTGACACCGCGTCAAGAAAATCGAGTCCGATGTACATTAATTCCAGGCGATGGCGTGGGACCGGAGTTGGTTTATGCCGTTCAGGAGGTTTTTAAGGCTGCAGCTGTGCCTGTGGATTTTGAATCGTTTTTTTTTTCTGAAGTTAACCCAACACTCAGTGCTCCGATTGATCAGGTTGCCAATTCCATTTCCAAAAATAAGGTTTGCCTTAAAGGCATTTTGGCCACACCTGATTATAGTCGAACGGGCGAGTTGCAAACTTTAAACATGAAGCTACGGAACGAATTAGATTTATATGCTAATGTGGTACATGTCAAGTCGCTGCCCGGAGTCCGGTCTAGGCACACCGGTGTCGATTGTATTGTAATTCGCGAGCAAACCGAAGGGGAATACTCGGCTTTGGAGCATGAGAGCGTTAAAGGGGTGGTGGAATGTTTAAAAATTGTAACCGCTACAAAATCTGAGCGGATAGCGAAATTCGCATTTGATTATGCTACCAAGAATAAGCGCAAGAAAGTTACCGCAGTACACAAAGCCAATATTATGAAGCTTGGTGATGGTTTATTTTTGAAATGCTGTGAACAGGTGAGCGGATTATTGCTTGTAAATCAATCTTAAGTGTCTTTTTTTTGTTGTAGACATCAAAGCTCTACCCAAAGATTGAGTTTGAGAAACTGATTGTTGATAATTGTACCATGCAAATGGTATCTCGACCACAGCAATTTGATGTGATGGTTACCCCCAATTTATATGGTAATATAATAGATAATTTAGGGGCTGGATTAGTTGGAGGTGCTGGTGTGGTGGCAGGCGCTTCTTACTCAGCTGACTGTGTTGTATTTGAGCCTGTAAGATATTCAAATTTAACGCCCCTAAGGAAAGGGCTTAGGCAACACATCATGCAATTTAGCTCAAAACACTTTTTACCTTCCGACTACTAAAGGAAAGTATTGTAATCGCGGTAAAGAATAGTTTTCACCTCAACGAAATTTGTTCTTTATTTGCGAATCCAATATTAGCTTTTGAAAATCTGGAAAAAAGATTCCAACTGCAGGTCTTAGTCAGACTACAAAAATGGTACAAATTTCATGTAATGCACTCTCATTGTATTTAAGAACAAAACTCTTTTCAAATATAGCAGCACATTATGCTTGCCTCGCATGTAAATTTGGTCTGTGCTATGTTTGTTTAGGGAATCCCATCTCATATGAATACGCAGGTGTTGGAAAAAATGTAACTAAATTGTATTGTGTTGCTTAGGTACATTTTTCCTTAGAGGCTCTAAGATAAAATTGTTACATTTCAATTTGTAGGGCGCAAGGCATACATTTGCCGAAGGTGTTGGTAAAAATATTGCAAATCCAACAGCAATGATATTATGTGCCGCTAATTTATTAAACCACGTTAATTTAGGATCGTATGGGGAAATGATCAAAAATGCGGTTTCTAAAGTGTTACACGATGGAAAAGTACGAACGAAGGATATAGGAGGACAATCGAATACTCAAGAATTTACTTATGCAATTATTTACAACCTAAAACCAGTATCAACATAGAAACTATTAATACAAATCAAATTAAATTAAGTAATAAAGGCATAGTGGACTGTTAGGTTTTAAAACTAGTCTATTTTACGCTTTGTAGTCAGTATTTTAGCTAATTATTGCAGTGTATTTATTGTTAATTTAATTGTGATGTGATTGTAAGTTTTTTTTTGTTTTTTTTTTTCAAAATAAAACCTCTGCTGTTTTCATTTATTTTAACTAAATTGACAGTGACTTGACCAATTAGTTTCTAATAGTCCAAGAGCCCAGTAGGAAAGTATACCTTGAACGCCCGGACGATTCTAATAATTTTCATAGGATTCGCCATAACAAGTTGCATTAGAATCGACAACGGTGCCGGCGAAAATCCTGCCGAAAGCAGTTAAAAAAAATTAAATTCGGCCCTTATTTTTGAAAAATGTACTTTATTGTCCCGGACGTTCTGGAAGAGTACTAAAGAGTGCATATGGATGAGTTTTATCGGAAAAAGTCACGGTGCCGGGGCGCAACTTGCCGCAACCCTTGGCACCGCGACTGCAAATGGGGTGGTAAATCGTACTAAACTACCTTTTTCTCCCGGACCAAAATGACCTATATGAAATATGTAGCTTGCGATTATACGAATATAAAAAACCAACGGTGCCGATTCTCAGGATGCCGGAAGTCCTGGGCACCGTCGATCGAATCCGAGCGCGCGCGAGCTTATTGACAGTGCGAAAATTGAAAAATTGCAACAATTCACGTCACTTACCTATGTAATTCGGTGAAAAAAGGTAACACCGTGGATACCGCGAGATCAAATATATTCCACAAAATTTTCTCGACGAGAAAAGATTCTGAGAAACTCGTCAAGAAAAGATTCTGAGAAACTCGTCAAGAAAATCAGAGGATTTGATTCGTGTACGATTCCGCCTTGTTTCAAATCATTAAAACAAAAGATTCTCGGAACGATTTTTGTTACTGCTATATGGAAAAATGCGGCAGAAAAACAATGTACCACGCTCGATCCTACGAAATAAGGCTGGGAAATGAAAGATATTTTAGAACCCTTTTGGTTCGAGGGCGATCCTACTTCTTTGAGCGTCGATTCTGATTCTGATTGAATTACAATAAAATGATTTCAAAAAAGCATTTGTGACACAAGAATCATTGCGAGTCAACTTCGATCATTTCTACCTTTTTTGGGTTGCTTTTAGGCATAAACACACAAGTCAAGTGTTTTACTTTTCAAAAAATTAATGTTTAAGAATTAAAAACGATTTTGCCGGTTCTTTTTTTGTTTTTTTTTTAACAAAAAAGTGGTTCAGCCTATAAAAGAATGATTCTCTAAGTGATCGAAATAACGGCATAAGTCTGTTTGTAATGATTCAAATCTGTCTCGTCAAAAGTTTGAGAAAATGGACTTAAATCGTTTTTCTCGCAGTCACAAAAGTGATCAGATACGAAAAGAAGGCTCTTGCGCGCCCCCGGATTTCTTATAATTTGTCTACTCTTAAGCTACATTTTTCATTAAGGACTTTTTGGTCCGGAAAAACAAGCTGGATTATTACAATTTACCGCCTCTTTTATTGGCACAGTGCCAATAGGCTCGCGCGCGCCCGGATTCAATCGACGGTGCCGAGGACTTCCGGCATCCTGAGAGTCGGCACCGTTGGTTTTTTATATTCGTATAATCGCAAGCTACATATTTCATATAGGTAATTTTGGTCCGGGAGAAAAAGGTAGTTTAGTATGATTTACCACCCCATTTGTAGTCGCGGTGCCAAGGGTTGCGGCAAGTTGCGCCCCGGCACCGTTACTTTTTCCGATGAAACTCATCCATATGCACCCTTTAGTACTCTTCCTGAACGTCCGGGATAATAAAGTACATTTTCCAAAAATAAGGGGCAAATTTAATTTTTTTTAACTGCTTTCGGCAGGATTTTCGCCGGCACCGTTGTCGATTCTAATGCAACTTTTTATGGCGAATCCTATGAAAATTATTAGAATCGTCCGGGCGTTCAAGGTATACTTTCCTACTGGGCTCTTGGACTATAAAAAAAGGTTGGTGGAAAGAATAGTTAAAGCAGACAGGCTGTCTCTGTTATTGAGTTGAGAATTATAAACTAAAACCTGCATAGGGAACAGAACGTTCACTTTATTTGTGATCCATACTGCCCGTCCCTTCATGTTTGACCGCTTGATTACCTCAGAAGCATACAGCTGCTAGCAGTGTATATGTCGTAGGCATATTGTAAAATCCGTCATTTTATAATACGCCTCGGCAGTTTATAAAACGCGGGCAGTGTACTTTCTAGAGGTAAGCGATTGGTTCCCTTCCCTCTTCAAGAGCGATCCCTTATGCATCTAGAAGGGGAAGGAAAACTACCCCAACCCCACAGGTCAGCATTTCACGAAATGACTCCGCAATTTAGAAATGACGGATTTTACAAAATGCCTACGACATAAAACTGCCTAGGCGTATTATAAAATGACGGATTTTACAATATGCCTACGACATATATACTATATAGTTTTTGGCATTATTTACAAATATTCCAACTGTGAACTGGCCACTTGAAAGGGTCGATGTGTAACAAACGTTATATACGATTATTATAAGCTGCATATAATATGCAAGTATTATATTTTTTTTAGTACCTTTCAAAAGAATAAAAACGGATTATTATTATTATTATAAACTAAAATTTGCTGCACCCTCATCTTGAGCGAAATGGCCGACCGATGAGAGCGTAACGTCCCTGGCCGCAAACGTCTAAAAGCAGAGCTCCGAAATCTGCAATGGCAATTCCTACGTCAACAGCGCTTCAAGAAACAACCAGGTCTCCGGTTGCAGAACCAGTTCGCCTTGCCAGCTTGACTTCGCGCCACTCTCCACCAGTCAGTAGACCCGCATCCGCGACGACAGCGCTCGCTGCGTGCACTTCGGCTACCATTTTTGCAGATATTGTGAATATATTTCATAAAACGAACCGAATTTTATTTATCATCGCCCGCTACCTATAAATAACTGGTAACCCGGTACAATGTACAACATAAACCCGTACTTTTCAGTACGAACCCAGTCGACCTCGACGCTTGCATAAGAAAATAAGAAAGAGAACCAGGAACCACGTTTCCGGCCAGCTAACCGACGCTCAACACGAAAGCCGTTTCCAAGATGCAGAATGGTTCCCAGGATCCCTCCGACGAACACCTAGACTAGCAAGCATCCGTTAGCCATATAGCAGTGAAACCCCTCACCGTTTTGGAAGAACGACCCCAACCTGGTTCTACCAACTCGAGCCGCAATCCCACATCTCCGGTATCACCAATGATACGACAAGTCTCCGATATTATCAACTCCCTCGGCCGAAAACACAGCACTAAAAAAGAGATTTACGGCCTTTTTCACGAACAGCGAAGAGCGACGCCTGCCAAAACTGCTGATGGACGTTCAACAGGGCGATCTCAAACCGTCCCAATTATTTCCACCTAGGAGGTCTAGGTCATTATGGCTCACGATTGCCAGAACAGCATCCAGTCGATTTTAACGGTCAATTATCCGACAAAGAGTATTCTTTGGCTCTGATAATCTGGATCAACTCGTAACCATGGCCGACAGGCTGCACGTGGTATACGACCAACGCGTCATTGCAGAAATCGTCACCCCGGAAGCGAAATCTATGGAACCCTCAACGCCTTACATCTATACACGTCGAGCACCTAGCGGCCCCAATCAACGCCCTCCATAAACAAGAACGAGGCGATAACCGTCAGTGGCAACGAAAACGCTCGCATTCAAGATCTTCTAGAAGTATCTCTGCTACACGCCCAGCCGAATTGAGGGTATCACCGACGGTTAGGCGCCCGAACGAAAAATTGCACGAATCCCTGATTGTACAAGACGCCGGTCCAGAAAACGAATTTTCTCGTCGTCACCCACGGCAGTGTGCGACGGCACCAAAAGCATTTGCCGCCTACTCGTTGAAGACGCTAAATGCAACACCCGATTCTTAGTGGATACGAGAACGAAAGTACCTACACACTTATTACTGCCAATGGGACCATCATCAACACCTACGGTTGTTGTCCCCAGACTCACAACTCAACCGCTCCCTATACCCAACGCCCATAGAAAAGAGATTTTTTCTGTATTACAATAAGATAAAATAAAAATTTATTTTAAAACTCGGGTTTAAAAGAGTCCTGAGCAACCACTACTTTACATATCTTACCACCGCCCATTATTGTATCACCCCCATTATGAATGATTTATGATTGGTTCATTGATTAAAATCAAGACCTTCACCTTAGACGAAGTATATAGTTTCCAGCTTGTACCTTTTTTATAGCTTTTATTTAATAGTAATGTTTTATAAGTCACTTCCGTTGCTATCGCCGAATAGGTTGAGCTAATTCCTTAATTCTGTCGCTGGCTATATATTTTAGGGCTTTTGGACTCACTTCAGCTTTGATATCCCGAGGCGGTTCTTTCTTAGATTGTGGCGGCACCAGATCTTTATAGCGATCCAATGCTGAAATTTGTAGCTTTAATACTGCAAATCTTTCGGTTTAGAAATGCAATAACCATTTTCTAGGTAACGATATGGTTTGGCCAATTGGTTTAGCCTACGAATATCTCTGATCGTTCCCCGTATTGCAGAGCGCTTTACTCCACTGTCAATGGAACCTCGTTTATAAATGGGAGCAACGTGTTTACCTGTCACCCTTGAAGTTTTTGGGGATGATAATTCATTCAGTGTGTGCTTGACGCTTTTCTTGGTACTTTCCATACTGTCGTGCCTGTCTATTTCTAGTATGAAATAACTTAAATTTGGAGAATTTAGTTATATTTTCAGAATTTGATTAAATGATGTTCGTTTGCATTTTGTTATAACACAAAGGCTACTATGCTGCTTTTTTACTTATTGCTTCGTAGTTTCTTTATGGTCTTCTTCGCCATGATCTGCGTCTGATGAAGTCTGTTGTTTTTGCAAGTCGGGAGATTTTGTTAACACTAACTTTCTGATCTAGAATGAATAGATCTAGTAACTGAAGCGCTTACAAACTTTGGTACCTTATTCTCAGCTGGTAAACTGGTATTTTGTGACACGGATCGTTGATGTGTTGATCCAGAGGGAGTTATTTCGCAAATACGAGAGGGAACAACTTCAGATGTTTCGGATGGCAAGTTTACTGTAGATGTAGATCGATCGTAACTTGATCTGAGTTGTAATGGGTATTGATTCATTTTCTCCTGAATTACCATCAACTCTAATCCGTTTCTTCTCAATTGGTTCAAAGCAATTTGCTGGTCTGAAGTTAACGATTGTTGAGTATCCTGCCAACGGCAGTGTTGATTTAAGTTTTTAGTTGGATAACCGGAGTAATGAAAAAGGCTAGAAATGCAGGTTTCAAGAGAGATACCAAAAGAATGCTGTATTTCTACTTAGGATGCTCTTGGGCGGAATAATGACTAAAAGTATTAAATGAGAATGATATGCCCCCATCAGCTAAACCCGTTTTTAGCCCCGGGATTGCGTTACATTGTGTGTAATACTTGAAAGGGTTTCTATTGCAGTAGTCTGGTTGTCCCAAATACGAAAAGTTTTTGAATATTGACGTTGTTGTTTGTTCGAACAGTGTACGGCTTGTCGACCTGGTAATGATCACTGTTTCATTGCCATATTTTGCTGGTGCTGAAACACTAATGAGCAAGTGACTTAATTAATCTTCCTTTACCTGACGAATAAGTGACCTCCTTCAGAACGTTTGAATGGTGGGATGTAAATGGTTTATTTGGCATGCTGACAAGAACATATGCGACACTAGTGAATTTGACAGATGTTTGGTGGGGTACAAAATCTATCATGCTTTTTCGTCTTAACTTCCCTGTCATCCAACACAACCCTATCCCATTCAAACCCAAGCAGCGCTTTGGCGTCCATTATTATTGTATAATCCAGTTAAATTGTATTTTTACCAGGAAAGTTGTGGGGTAGTTTTGATTTCTTTGATCCTATATGTTTTTGGTGTGCTGAATCCGAATCTGAGGTGTGCCAACAAAATTTCATGACGCAACATTGAAAAAAATACAAAAGAAGTTGAAAAAGATATTTTTTTGGCAGTTTTGTGCTTACAACTTGAAAACTATCACCTTTTCGAAAAAAACCTTCCTATTCAAAATTAAAGTACATAAAATTTCCTACAGATTCCACTATTTAGTTTTTTTTCCTCGATAAACCGTTCGGGCTCAAGCGCCAGTTGAAAATTGGCGGTCTCCACAAAACATAGTTTTTTCGCACTAAAACCCTAAATTAATATTAAGCGTTGTCAATAAGTGAATTCCTTGCATTTACCTACTATTATTTGAATTTTATATGTAAGGGTGGTTTTTTCTCATTTTCATAACGTTCAAGGTGTTTATTGTAGTGCAGAATTGTATGAAAAGTTAATTTCTAAAGAACAACAGTATCATATTATTATATTATTTATAATATATAATACTTATACTGTGCTATCTAAAACTATTCCCACTCTCTTCCGAACCAGATAAAGAAATCACAAAACCCTACCGTAGCATGTTTGGATAATTATTGTTGAATTTGAGAACGTGGCGCTGTGGTCATTATTAATTAAAAAAATTCAAATGGCAAAAGGGGTATATTGATTTCCTATTCAACGGCATTATCCCTCTTGCTCCAGTGTTCTGAAGAATCACGTACCTACTCCTCGGAGTGGGGCAGTCAGAGCTGTCACAAATCGTTTAAAAAACGATTTAAATCAAAGATCAAAGATGCATTTCATTTTAACAAATGATTTAAATCAAAGATACTTTTGTCAATAAGAGAGTATTTAGATAATAAATCATTTTGAGATTTAAATATTTTTTGTGATTTAAATCTTTTTAGAAAGTATTTAAGATACTTTCAATGTATTTAATTCATTCAAAAAGGTTTAAATCTAATTTTGTTAATTTAAATCATGTATAAAGATTTAAATCATGTAATGATGTAATGATTTAAATCTTTTCCGATGATAATCGTTTTGTGACAAAAGGTTTGTAAAGGATTTAAATTCAAAAAAACTGATTGGTCTGATGATCTTGCTCGAAACCCATTCATCAATATACCTACCATTTCTACCGTATTTTATTGTTATTATTTATTAAATTAAAATATGTACCTATTTTTTTGCGAAAGAACTTTTAAAAAAACCAAGACATCGTCAATCTCAGTAGGTATACTCGATTTTGTAATAAATACATATAAACGTCTACCGAAATAAAACCCGGGTTAATTAGCTTAGTCATAAATCAAGAGAATTTGTTAGTATGTATTAATTAAATCGTCTCTAAACGATTTAAATCACTCGGAAACGATTTAAATCTTTTCGAAAGTATTTAAATCTTTTTAAAAGATTTAAATCATTTTTTAAGTTCAAAATCAAAGATAGTTTTCATGAAGATTTAAATCTTAAATCAAAAATCATTTTCCGTAAAAAGATTTAAGATCAAATGATTTAAATCGAAAAAAGTATTTAAATCATAAAAAAGATTTAAATCTTATTAAAAGTGACAGCTCTGGGGGCAGTTACCCCAGCTTAAATTTGTCTGCTATCAACTGAACCCGGTTTATTTCTTTTCTGTTTACATGTTAACCAGCGACAGCGAGATCATAATTTTGGACTGTCCGTCCGTCCATCTGTGTAACTTTGTGAGGGTGTGTATGTATGTGTATGAGAGGAGGGCCTCGAGACTGCAAACGTAGGTCAAAGAGTAACGTACTCTTTGCGTAGGTACACGGTGACGTAATGGGCCTTGTCTCATCTGTGAAGGAGTGGGAGAGTTTTATACCAGACGGAACTGTTATAAAATCTTTTGAGGAGACCGGTATACAATGAAAAGTACGGATTTATATTTGCACAGAATAATAATAAAACAATAATAAAAGATGAGTATTTGCGGATACAGCCGAAATACGCCAATTTTCAACTGGCGCTCGAGCCCGAACGGTTCATCGAGGAAAAAAACTAAATGGTGGGGTCTGTACGAAATTTTATGTACTTTCATTTTGAATAGGAAGGTTATTTTCGAAAAATGATAATTTTCAAGTTGTAAGCATAAAACTGCCAAAAAAATATCTTTTTCAACTTCTTTTGTATTTTTTTCAATGTTGCGTCATGAAATTTTGTTGGCAAACCTCAGATTCGGATTCAGCACCCCAAAAAACATATAGAATCAAAGAAATCAAAACTACCCCACAACTTTCCCGCTAGATGCCCGTTTGAGCACAAATTGCCTGTATTAGTATAGATAGTTACTTTTTAGCGCATTTTTGCAAAAATTTTTTTTTGTAAAAAGTAGCTTTTAATCTCACTTTGGCTGGCTGGCTGGCAGTAAATGCGCGCCCGTAGAAAAACGCTTGTAAAAAGACAAGGAGTGTACATGTAACTATCGGGGCCGTGTAATTAAGAACGTTAGGGATGGGGCTACAAGATTTGGAGTCGACGACATCTGGACGCCATCCCCGAGCGTATTATACTAACCTGGAGATTTTTCAGTTTTTATCTATCTTCTTCTACAGTTTTTCTCCGATTGTTTTCAAATTGGTGTCGTCGGGAACATCTTGTCAACGCGCACAACTCCTGCGTGGCGGAATTTTGTTTTTGTTTCCTAGGGGCGAAATAAACCACCTTTTGCGCGGCGCGCTTCGAGGGGTAGTCGACTTTGGGCGCCCAAAAGTTTCTTACAGCGCGAATCGCGGTCTCTCTTTCTCGTGTCACTAATAGAAGGACGAGCTATGTGAAGTACCCAAAAGTTGAATACGATTTTATGCCGGGATTTTAGCGAAATCTACCAAAATGGGAATTACGAATGAACGGGACGTCGGAACTGTGTATCGACAAAGGGAATGTGGTAACCCCCGACGAGATCTTACTGATGGTGGAGTCAAAACTTCAAACGCGAATTGCGAGTGCACGGTAAGTGAGAAAATGGTACCGACAAAGTGAACGTGGTAGCTTTCGGCAAGATCTTATTGATGGTGGAGTCAATATTGGCTAATAAAACACTGATCTGCCACACAAAAATGCGCTGAAGTCCCTTCGATCTCACACGAGGACTTTGATAATTTTTTAAAAGTATCCGAAACTCCGAAGATTTTTCAAAAACACCTCTACAAGTCTAATTACAATTGCAAAATGTTATAAATATCCACATACACAATTTCTGTTTACTTGTATACGAGTTCAAACCTATTAAATTAAATATTTATTTTCCTAAAAAGTACGTGAAGTCTGAAAAGAAAGGAGAATAGGTTCGGAATCACCTTTGCGCGCATGTTAGGAACAATGTTTTTCCTACAATCGTTCAAGAATTAATTAAATCGCGTGCGCAGTGATCAATTCCCGCAAGGGAATGCCAATAGATGTAGGAAAAAAATGTTTCAAAATATTGCCTCGCGACACAACTGTAAATTATGAGTAACGAGCAAATATAGACCATAGCAGCTATCAATTAGCGAAAACTCGAAGTCTCTAGGTGGCACAGGGGCCGACATCTCGAAGGAACAGACAAGGAAAATTGAGCATATAAGCGTTACCACAACTTCGCTGTGTTACGCTAAAAAAACACACGGCCTTTTACGTGATACGACAAAACCACCATGCGGGGGCAGATGGGCAGATATGAAGAATAAGCTAAAAACTTTATTATATTGTACATTTTTTGTCTAATTTCTGTTATTCATTTTTTTTTGCCATCTTAACGTTCTATAGGTTTCGCCAATTCCTTTATTCTAGCAGTTGTTTTAGCTTTAAGAGCATTGGGACTAATTTGGAACGGGTTTTCTTTAAGATCGGAATCCTTCTCAGCGGCTTTCTTTTTAGGTACTGCCAACTCATCAAATCTCGGCGACACTAGCAATGAAACACGTTAACAACTTGTGCATGTTTGAGTTATTAGCTACCTGCGCACGTCAAGGCGGATTTCTTTACAGCTCCGGGAACAATGGGACGTTCCTTGAGAAGTCTATGCGCTGGATTTTTTGCTAATTCCAAAACGCGCTCTGATGCAACGTACGTTTTAGCCGCTGGTTTTACCTTGAAAAAATAGGGGCGTTAAGGAAGCTACAAAATTAGTACTACATTTACCCTGGTAGGATCAATGTAAGTTGGATCTATTGATGGTCGAATGAATTTTACAGTGACGCTCCTGGGTTCTGCCAAAATGTTTGCATGGACTATTATCTCATTTAAAGTAGCAGCTGGTCGTTTCTGCACCTACAGTCGGCAAATTTAATTACGCCATATTTGTAGGTTAGAGCTTACCGGCAAAGGTGGCGGAGGAAATGATTTTTTTGGTTGTGCTTTAACTGCACACCACGCGGCAATCCTTTTTTCCTTTTCTTCTTTAAGTTCCTTTGGAGTCTTCGTTTTCACAACAGTTTTGGTGGCTAATTCTTTTTGTTTCGCTAATCGCATATCCCTAAATGAAAAACAATTAAAGAAACCATTTATAACCGTTGAAAACATACTTCTTCCGTTTAATATCGATCATTTGCTTGCGGTAATAGTTGTAAATAGTCTTCCAAGACTGATTGATTGTTTTCTGCAAATTTTTTTTAATTCTTGGACCTAATTCACTGTACGCTTTGCGTGCTTGGTATAAGTACCTAACGGAGAAGAGTATTCCACATTAATGACTGACAAGATAGAATTCATACCGCAATGTCGGTTTACTCATATCATCCATCCTTTGCGTAATGTTCACTGTTAATGCCGATGGCCGTATACCGGTACCTTTCTCCTCAACAAAAACATATTTTGGTACCGTCCGATTCGGAATAGCTAACTTGTTAAGACGCCAGTTTTGCTTTGGTCTACCTCGTACGGCACTTGGTCGTACACCAGTGAACACTTTTCCGGTATAGACTGGTGGCACATACTTTTTCGTTACGCGGGTCGGATATGCCAATAAGATGGTTCGTAATCGATCCGGTCGTTCTGATGCTGGAAGTACCATTTCGAGGTTCAAAATTTACGTAGTTTTGCTTTTTTTATTAGCGTTTCTTATTTATTTAGTAAAAGAACATGAATAATTTTGATGAAAAGAAAGTGACGGATGACAGTGTTTGCGAGTGATTTTTGTTTGCTTACGTCATTATTTAATTATCTAGACGTTTATGTACTCTTTGATGCAAGATTATGCAGGGAAGACTTGTACTGTTTGTTAACACGTTCTCCATTATTTTGAAAGCGCTATTATGACTCTATTCTCAGTTGATTCGTTAAGGGTTCTTACTTGGACCAAGAAGAACTTATATAATGTACGTACAAAGTTTCCAGAACCAAATTAATATCTACCTTCGGCTTTCCGTAGAGAGTTATCGTTTGCACAGTAAAAATTAGCTGCTTCGATTTCGGTTTACTTGTGTTTCTTACAGATCTTATAATTGTGCTTGCTTAAAAAAAAGGTAGAAATTGTGTGATGCAAAGACATAGGAAGAATTTTTTTCATCCAAGGAAGCATTATATACGCCACTAAATTGCAAAATAAAGTTTTTTATTTACATGTACTTTTAAAATCATCAATCCACTTTAACCCAATGAAGTACCTACCAGGTTTTTACAGATCACTACCTCTTTAGTGTTTTAATTCCCAAAGTTTACAACAAATATAGAGGGTTTGGTTGTTTAAAAAAATACAACCTTATTTCAAATGAACATTTTTTAACAGCTAAATTTTAGGATCACTTTCCTTCAAGTTAACAATATTTTCCGAAATCTCCCATACTTTCTTTGCTTTGGCGCTATCCATTGCGCCACTACTGAGACTCCTCTCCTTGCAATCTATGAAGTACTTTCCGGATACGTTTTCGAGCTCCTCCGAAACGGCTAGATGGACAGTTGTTTGTGCCCCTTGTAGAGGTGTCTTAAAAAAGCATTTGACAACCGCGATAAGTGGCCAGCTAAGTGGAGCGGGTACGTTCCTCCATATACCGCTATCAACCATGCCTGGGTGCAGGCAATTGACAGTTATGTTGGTACCTTCCAGTCGACGAGCCAGTTCCCTTGTGAAATATATATTAACGTACTTGGACGTGTAATAAATATGCGCGGGAACTAAGGCACGTATAGGATTCAGCTTGTCTAAGTTGACGGAGGACAATCGATACAACTCTGAAGCAACGACGACAATACGGCAAGGTCCAGACCTTTTAAGCAGATCTAAAAACACACTTTTATACTTTCAAACTATTCGCACTATGTACTCACCCATCAATAAGTGTGTAAGTAAAAAGGGGCCAAAGTGGTTAGTCGCCATTGTGGTTTCCAAACCATCTTCAGTCACTTTGATTCGTGTTTCCGCTGTTCCTGCGTTGTGTATTAATACATTAATTTTTGTTTCCGTGTCATTGATGTCTTTGGCAAATTCTCTTATCGACTTTTGACTTGCTAAATCCAATTTCTTTACGAGGATGTTTTCGTTTCCTGTTGTTTTGACAATGTCATCTGAAATGATTTCTTATGCTATAAAGTTGTGTAAGTAACTCACTGCCAATTATCTTTAACAACACTTAACGCTTAAAGGTTTGCCTGAAGCATTATAGAAATTTTAACTAAGGTGGGTACAGGCCGAAAAATTATCGAATATATGGTAATAATGCTCCATGATATTATTAAGTCAAATTCTGGTCGTAACAATTTCTTTGTGGTCTAGAATGATTGATTCAATATCTAATAGCTCTCTTGACGCAAGAAAATAGGAGAAAATAAAGAGAATTAAAAAATTGTGTATTTCAGATAGAAAAATTAAAGTTTCATTTGTTGCAAGGGAAGTGCAAAATCAAAGGCAACAATTTTGAATGTTTTACACAAAGATACATAGGCGACATCTCCCTGTTCTCATTTGGTGTACAAAATAACCACTTAACTTATTGTAGTTTAAATGTGATTTAGACGATAGATAAAACCGGCATTTATCCGGTAAATTTCCAAATTGTTTCAATTACCAAGAGGTTGCAAAACGGGATTTTAAACAATGAGGTATTTCGATGTGAAAGTAATCGCGAAGCATTAAAAAGACATCGATTGTCAACAGCTTTCACTTAACATTAATTAGTGTAAAATATTTTCCTAGAAGTTATAAAAAATACCTTTGGTTTCGTTGCCTTTATCCAAATTTCTACAAGCCAAGATCACCTTCGCTCCTCTCCGTGCTAAATCTCTAGCAGTTTCTTTTCCAATACCGCTACTGGCACCGGTTATTATTACAGTTTTGTTATCCATTTTAACATTACTATAACAGAATCCACAAGTGATGTAAGCGAAAAACTTGATCGCGGTAATAATAATAAATCCACCAACCGCGAGTAATGCCAATAGCGCGTAAATGTAAATCGGACAAATTTCGACACCAAACACCTCCATCTAGAATGCGACGTTAATGGCAATAATTTGGTAGGTACGTACCCCTTCCCCGAATTTCAAACTACGTAATCCAGGTATGCAAACAGCAAATAATTTATTTTGATTATAATGCTTACCTTGAATATTTCTTGCTGGGTTTTTCGAAGAAGGATGTAAGAATGTTACTAAGTTCAAGGCGCGGATGACTGTCTTAAGAAAGTTAGCGTTGCTTTCACTTTGTTGATTACCTACGCATATATTTCATATGTTTGTAATAAAATGTGGAACAATATGATGCATTAATGCTTTGTGCAAAATGAGAGTTGTGTAATTCCTTGCAAAATATTACTTACGTTCCTAATATTGTTAGATTTGTGCGACTTATGCTTATGCAATTACAAGTATTAATGAGTATGTCGCTACCTTTGAAATGTAAATGTACTGAAAAAGTCTAGATAAGGATATTTGTTTGTTCAGTTTAGCGATGCGGAAAGGTTGGCATTATGGGGACATTAAACCGATCAACATTTTGAAGGATTTCTTCTTCGTCATTCAGTGTTAGTAACAGTATAATCATAGTAGATGGGAATCAGATTTCTAATTCTGTGTAGACTGGAGCTAAAGCATTTGCAAATTTACAAGTTGACGTTTAAGTTTCTTTGTTTGACCGTGAGTGTGGATAAAGTATCACTTTAACCGCAAAGGTGTATAAAGTGAAACAGATGATTATGCATTCTAATGACATCTGTCATTCTTATTCAAATGGGACGCTGAGCACCATATTAAATGACTGAAATCAAAAAATAAAAAAGATAATACTAACTATCGCCCAATTGCCATTTTGTTTTAGAGTAAGCTCGTCTCTGGTTCTCTGAAAATAGACTGTTAGACATAGAAAATCAAACATTTTTTTGTTTTTGGCGAATCACCCACATTACTTAATGGAATATATTTCGAAATCTTAAAATTTCTTTGATGAGCACCTGTAAGATTTTAGGTCTCAATATTGATTGTGCACTAATTTGGCAGGAGCATAGCCCAGCTTTAACATCAAAACTAACAAAAGCGTTGTTTTCTCTTAGGCAATTAAAACGGGTGTGCCATCAAGAATCACTAAAGATGACATACTTTTAATATTTCGAATCTCACTTTGTTATTTTGGGGAAATTCTAAGTTTGCCACAATTATTTTCAAGCTGCAAAAGAGGGACATTAATATTTTAGTTGGAATAGGGCCTCGAGACTCGTGTCGCCCCCATTTTATGAAATTAAAAATACCAACTGTATATAACTTATTTATTTTCGAATGTGTAGTTAATGTACAGTGTAACCTTCACTTGTTTAAACGTAACTTCGACTATCATGCTTACAGTACAAAATATCCTCAACTCATTAGAATACCAATAGCTAAATCTTTAATTATTTTCACATACAGTAATAGCTGTGAAGATATACAATTGCATTCCTCAGAGTATAATGTCAATTCCTTTACTTCATATGTTTAAAAAAACGCTAAGAATGAGACTTAATTCCTTTGTTTTTTACTCTTTAAATGAATATGCTTTCCAGAAATGGGTGAGTACGTAGTTTGGTATTTATTTATTTATTTTTAACTGTATATTTATTTGTTCTTGTTGTTTGTTTATGCTTGTTAATAATGTTTATAAATTTTTTGAATTATACAACATAAAAGTATCTATCTATCTATCTTAAATAAACGGGGTAAATATTAATCCTTTGCGCTAACATTATTAAACATATACAAGTTAGGCAATAAAAAAAGGGACGACCTCAACAGCGAAGGGATCAATATTAATAGCCCGATCTTCATAAAATGCAGTGATATCCCCCCTTCGGCAATTATAAAACGTAACAACTACACTCACATCACATAACATTTGAAGAAGACAAGCCTGGTAACTACGACTAGGACAAGCATGTCGATGCAGATTCAGAGGTAAGAGTGCACCTAACAGACATGCACTATATTTTATCAAAGAACCAGTAACTTTTTTCGTGCTTAAAAAAATCGAATCCATCAAAATCTAGACCAATTACAAACACAATTTTAAATTTAGAATTAGTAGTCTTAAGTGCACATTGGTATTTTCATTGCCTGGGTGCCGCCTGGTTTTTCGAATAGTAGGCGTTGTTCTCTGCGTGAAACTTCGAAGCTGCTGTTTGTCCATTGGTTCCTATGCAACCATTACAGCTTGGAAATTTTGCTTACAACAAAACCTCCGCTTCCATCTACGCTGTGGTATTGTAATTTGGGGCGGCAGCCATTTAGTGTCACGGGTTTTCATTATTCAAAAATACGCGGGTCGAATTTTAGGCCAACTACCATCTCGTACATCTTGTCATAAATCATTTCAAAGTTTGAAGATTTTCTAAGTTTATGTCATCATATCTAAAACCCAAATTGAAAAAATGCCATGAGGGGAAAGAAGTACTTGTGTATCTGTCACATCTTGTGTTCCACAGGGTTCTATTCTGGGCCCATCGTATTTGTGAACGACTTTCGGATAAGTGTATAAGTTAGTAACGAAATATGTTTGACATGTTACGCGGATGATATCTTAATTAAATCTGGAAACCAAGAATCTTTCGTAAATATATCTCAAGCCATTTTTGATAGATCTTGCACATGGTTTGAAGAGCAATACTATTCACTTTATACATACTCGAAATCCTCCATTGCAATTTTGGAACAACCGTATATGCTTCTTTTACCAAAGTATTAGGGTTAACTATTGACCTTCGTTGGTCACTAGCGTTTGCCTGAAACTTCAAAAATGTTGGTACACTCTGGATGACCACTACAAAGATCAAATATATTGCTAGGTGGTGGTACGAACTCAGTTAAACACTTTGTTTTGAAAACAAATTAATGATTAATGATCAATGTGTTCGATGCCATACAGACAAGAAAATACTTTATTTTGCATTGGCTGCCCCAACACAAAAAAGTATTACAAGTAACAAAAATCCTTACATAATAAATACAAACAAGTCTAAAATAAACAACAATTGAAATAACATGTGGTAACGTTATACCAGATTTCCGCACAAGAAACTTTTTGACCGCTTATTACAATATAGATCTACCTGGCAAATATATGACAATTCTCCATACGCACCCCTATCGTTTCTGTTTCAAAACGGCTGTCTTCCCACAATAGGGAATTTTTTACAACCTGGACAGACGGACGGAAAAATTATAACCCCACAAAGCGCGATGCCAACGTTCTCTACTACGCAACTACCATCTAATTCTATGTGGCGTACATTACAAACAACAACGGACAAGCAAAAAGCTAAATCTGTGGATCCGTTTCCTTTAGCTGAACGGTTCGTTTAGAAATCTCCCAAAACCATTTATTATACTCCGTATTCTTCGTTCCGCTGCAAGAGTACGCCACCTTGCAGTTAACGAAATATTTTCCACTAATCTTCTCCACATCTTTACTTTCAGCGAGGTAAACGATTGTTTCACATCCCTCCTTCGGAGTCTTAAAAAATAGTTTGCTCGTTAACGCTACGACCCAACTGAACGGCGCCGGTATACTGTTCCATATATCAGTTTGAATTAACCCCGGATGTAGAGCGTTTACCGTTATATTAAAAGGTTTTAGGCGCACCGACAACTCCTTGGCGAAACAGAGATTGGCAAACTTGGAATTGAAATAATTCAATTGGCCGATGTATGGAGGAACGTAATTTTCCAACTCGTCGAAGAGTAAACGACCGAAAAAGTGAGATATAGATGAAACTACAATTATTCGACCCGAAGGTGATCTTTTTAGTATATCTGAAAGAGAGCATTTTAAATAGGTATGTACACGGTTGTCTCTAACCTGTACCTATAAGTAGATGTGTTAGCAAAAATGGTCCAAAATGGTTGGTTTCCATTGTCATGTCTAAGCCATCTTCAGTTTGCAGATGATGTGATAGCCAAACGCCTGCATTGTGTATTAAAATGTCCACTTTTTCTTCGTTCTGTTTTATGTCTTCGGCAAAGTTGCGTATAGATCCAAATGATGATAAGTCAATTTGTTTTAAGATCACATTTGTATTTCCGGTTATATTTATTATTTCATCTGTAACAGTAGTTGGTAATCAAAAATAACTGTCAGAGATCAATATTCCTTACCTTTACATATTTTGCCTGTTTCCTGGTTTCTGCATGCCATTATTATACGTGCTCCGGTTTTCGCTAAAGAGAGCGCAGCTTCTTTACCAATTCCTGCATTTGCTCCTGTTATAATGATTGTTTTCTGCTCCATTTCATTAACTAACTTGCACTAAGGAAGCTGAATGTAACGTGAGATTAGACCAACATCACAAGTTTCAAACGATACTATTGTGAATTCTGTTATCTTACAGCAAACGCGCATGGACAAGCTAAAGGCATAATTTCATTTTAATGTTAGTGGAACACTTTAATTGATTTCTGTTGTGGTCGTTACAAATACCGTTAGTAGCCCATAAAGGTAGTTGAAAGTCATTTACAGATTTTATAATAATACATGTGTCAGTTCTCATTAAGATTAATGAAGGCTTACTTGGAAGAAATATTATTTCTAGGCCACTAGAAGAGGTTATATTGATTGTGGTAGCTTTTTACTGTAGTATTTACTTAGTAGTGACAATTTCCCATGTAAAATCTCTCTTTGCATGTTTAATCATAATTCGTGTAAAATATTTTAAAAAGACAACGTTGAAGAGTTACAATTCATTGTCGCAATAGTTCGTTTGGGGGCAAACGGTCATAAAAGATAATTCCGCATAGGCTATCAATGGTTAAAACATTCATTCATATTTTAAGTACGATGGATAAATTGCGAAGTTTCCTTGGAAGTCGTAGCTGAGAAAACTATAATAAGCATTACTCTTATCCTGGTGTCTATGTCTAATTTAACCAAAATTAATGTTAAAATATCTGAAAGAGTTTTTTGCTCTTCCCATACATACCGGGGAAAATGTTTTTAACTCTTATTATTTTATTTACGAGGTATATTATATTCATTCCTTTGGGTATAAGGAATTAGTTAATCGTAAATCTTGATTCTTATCCCAATTATTTCAAGACGTTTGTTTATATGTACTATAGGTAGGTACACCAAAAATATCGGTCTTCATCATGGTGTATTACACCATGGTCCCCATTGAAACAATCTCAGACATGATCTTTGGAAAACGTTTATTTCGACACGTACAAAATTAAATTATTTTTAATATTTTTAAATTATTCAGTACAATGTCCACACGTATCGTTTATAGCGTTGTAATTTTCCATTAAACCTATTAAACTGTACTGCAAAAATGTGCTACACAAATAAAAGCTATATTCAAGATTTATTTGTAGGACACCATCCTATTTTTTCGCAGGCAGAGACAGCGCCTACAGAAAGGTGATATCTTTTTTTACGTAACGGTGCCATAACAACATTTCAATACATTTCGACAAAATTAACTGTACTTTTTCTTAAAATTACATAAAATTTCTGGCCTCATTAATTTCATGATCGTACTCGCGGTCAGAGTATCGTTACGTACCACCTAAATGTTTTGAAATTAAAATAAGGGAAGGAATTCGGGTTTCAAACACGAGGACAGGAAAGTTTTGGAGTTTTGGAGATAAAATATATCAAGCTCTGCAGGTAGTTTCAAATTCTATTAGATTACCATAAGGAGACGTTTATTGAAACGGCCGACTTCAATGTTAACTCAAGACGAACAGGCTGACTGATCCTTTTCATATTTTTGCTTTACATTGCGGAGAATCGGGCCTTGTTAATATATTTTTTCTCCAACCACCTGAATAAGACGCTATTTTGTGACAGTGTTCGGTACCTAAAATTGACGTTTTGCGGATTAATCGCTTTCACCATGGCAACTGTACAAAAAGTGGATACTTTTGGTCCTACTACCAAAAAGAAATTGACCTTGAAAGTTGGCCAATTAAAAAATTACCATCACGGAGATATGTCACATTGACATCCCGCGGTCGCGCGTAACGCCATCTACTTCAGACCCATTGCACTATTATCTGTCATATTGAATTCAAAATTTGAAAAAGTTAATTGCAATTAATTTTAATTAAAAAACTTTTTGGTTTTTACTTTTAATAATAGAGACACAGAAAGGTTCAATATAGGTTAGATGTACTAAAAGCTAGTATGTCGAAAAGGAATTTATAAATCAAAATCCATTAAATCCGAATTCTAAGTTTCAAATGTTTTCAGATTTAATTTAGCAGATTATAAATGATACGTTCGCACTAAAATCTAAGTTTGAATCCACTCGGTAAAAGGCAAGATTCTTTGACAGCAATTTGTCATAATTGTATGCTAAGTTGGAACTAATTGGGATATGATAAAACAAACCCATCAATTTCTAACATGGAAATACCTTTGAGTTTCAAGAATCATTATTCACGACAATTATTGAAGGCAGGTTAGCTAAGATCTACGAATACGTAAGTGCAATAATACAGCAACAGAGACTTTACAGCAAGAGCAACGTGGATTGTAAATTACTTTATTTTACAGCAGATGTTAAATTACTTTTAACGAGAAGGCTGTGTCTTAAACGTAAGTGTAGATAAAAATTTACTGTAACGGCAAGGGTAGAAAAGTGAAACAAACTCGAGGAAAAAAATGACGAAATTGTGCGCTTAATGAACACAATTGAGGAATTTAAAACCGAAATCTGTTTAGTCGGAAAATTAAATGACCAACTCAAACAACGCATTGAGGATAATCTAAGCGAAAGCATTTCAATGGAGAGCTCTTTACAAGAAGAGAATTCTCGCTTAGTTAGTTTAATGTATAATTTAAAAATGGACAATAAAAACTTAAATAAATTAATAGTAGATTTGAAATATGAAATAGATACTTTAAGAGCCAATAGATCCATTCCCATGGTGGATATTGATACACAAACTGACGTTACGTTCAACAGAATCAAAGCGGGGTCAATAAGGGACAATCTAGATGATGTAAACCTTCCAGGGAATGGACCAAAATTAGAGATAGATTTAAAGGGGATTATTCAACAAACGGTGCATCACACGTGTGATATTGACGATCAACTTCAGTATAACGATGATGAAACAACGGATCATTTGGAAGAAGGAAAAAACGTTGATGACCTGATTGGTGAGGTTGATAATGACCCAACATATAATGAGTATGTAGTAGACGAAGATGAACTTAAGGGGATGGAAACGGTTGATGACACGAGTGGAGCAGATGTAGCACAATCGTTGCTAATTGAGGAGCGTAATAATAAATCACTCAGGGATGAAATAATCGAAATCTCGAGCTTCAGGGGAAATGATAACCAAGTTCCTTCAATAGTTCCAAAGCAGCGCATACTGATTTTAGGGGATAGTCATGCTAGGGATTTTGGGTCCATAATAAAGCAGTTCCTGCCGTCGAATAAAATGGAAACATTAAGCATTTTTAAGCCCAATGGATTTTTGGAACACGTGGTGGAAGACATTGACAAGCTTACTGTCGACTATTCTTTAAAGGACTATGTTATTGTAATTGGGGGTTCTAATGATGCTATTAGAGGTAAAAACATTTCTAAATCGGTTCTTAATAAACTGTGCAATGTTAAACGTAAAACAAACTTAATTCTTTTATCCTCTCCCTTTTGGAAAGGTTGTGATCGTTTAAACAAAACTATTTACAAAAACAATTTACTCGTTTTTAAAGTATTAAATAAGATGAACAATTTTAATTTTAAGTACATTGACATAAACACTGTTCTTCGTTCTCAACATTTCACTAGGCATGGATTACACATGACATATTCCGGTAAGCAAACTTTAATAAAGTACATTTGTGAAAGAACTAACTATTTTAAGGGCGACGACGGCGTTAAGTCACAGTCGTATGTTAATGTTGGAAATCTTGTATATCCTCCTGTTGTAAATGATTTTTTATAAACAGGTACGCAGGGAAATCTCATCGTAATCAGTGTCAACAACATGCTTATTTTGAAAAAATTAATAATAGGGATAGTACTGAAATGTCGACAAGCTTTAGCATTTTTTTCTTAAACATTCAAAGTCTACGGAATAAAGTTAGTGAACTAGAAGTGCTGTTAGATACTGATTATGACGTGATTTGTCTTTGCGAACACTGGTTAAAGAATTTTGAGGTAACAAATACGTGCATTAGAAATTATATATTAGAAATTATATATTAGTCAATAGCTTTTGTAGAGAAAACCGCATTCATGGTGGTTCCTTAATTTATGTAAAACCCATACACAATTGTATTTCCGTCCCTAGGATTACCGCTCTATCTAGTGAAATGCATTGCGAAATATCCTGTGTGTACTTACCAGTCTTAGAAGCAGTAGTTTTATGTATTTATAGATCACCGCAAGGTGATTTTAAAATATTTTCAAGCACTATGGAGAAAGCCTTACGTCAATGTGTGAAATACAGGTATGTATGTGTCGCTGGCGATTTTAATGTAAATTTTTTGGGGGCGGATAAAAGCGCTGTGGAAGTAATAGATCTTATGGCCACATTTAATTTGCATCCCAATATTTCTTCCCCCACTAGAAATCAGAATTGTTTGGACAACATTTTCACAAACGTAAAAGCAAGTTCATCTAATATTATAGATACCCAGTTATCTGACCATCTCGGAATACATGCAATTATGTCCCTCAATCATGTTCCAATCAGAATAAATAGTCCTAGAAAACACCGTCCAATAAATAAACACGGGAAAGTTATTTTGAATAATATTTTAGAGAATTGTTGTTTTGATTTTGTAAAAGATAGAAGTAGAGATATTCATAAAAAATTTGACTTGTTTCTAAATACTATCAAAGATCATACTACACTAGATAGCCAGCGTATATGCAAGAGTTGTTTCGCGTTTAAGTAGTTCCATAAAAATATTTATAGGGGGCTTTCAAAGTTAAGAACGTAACTGATTCATCCGAAGCCGTCTTCGTTCAAGTTCGAATCATATCATAAATACAAAGAGTGATTATTGTCTAAACACGAGACACACAAACATGACCTACTGAACATTCCTCACTATCATTGGGATAAAATTACATTTGTAAGTGGGCGTCATTCAAGACGAGGTAGATTCTATTACAGTCAGGACTTTACAATGAAAGAAATAATTTGAAAGTTGTACACAATATTCCCTCTGCTTTTTTTTAACCAGCGCTAACCTGCGTCTAGTGTAGTATGATCTTTGATTACACGAAATGTTAATGCGTGAGACAAATGTCTTTTGATCAATATTTTTGTGTAACATTCAATAATGTAAAAAAATGTATACTTACCTGGAAAGATGTACTCTTCTTTTAATATTTTATTTGTACGTAAAAAGCACAAGAACAATAATTTACATTAATGCTCGCCATTTTTACAACAACGCAATCTCGTTCTACGGTTCTACCAATCTACTAAAACTAAAAGAAACTTCTGCGTGCGCCGAATCCCTACTCAAACTAGCGCGATATACAAGCGCGCTTAAATTTAAAATTCATTGTTGCATTAACATGCCGCCGGCCTTGAAATCCTTGGATTTAAAAATTGATACATGATAACCAAAACATGAGAAAACATAATATACACAGATAAACAACATAAAGTCACATTAAATAAAATACAAATACAGGTAAGTAACGAGGTAAGTAAGGTAAGTTTTGTAGATAATTGCACGATAAACAATTTTTGTAATAACCTCTATTGCCCTCCGAGCAATATGTCGTGATATATTCCCGACTTTTTGACCTTTATAACTTTTAGCCGGCACGATATCAATGTCGATTTTTCACATTCATTAAAATGCCGTAGTAAAGGTGTATACAAAAAATTCAGCTCACTAGAAATTTTTCCGCAGATGGGGGTTAACTTCTAAAATGACTGGACTGCATACTGTAACTATATCTTCTATAAATTTTATAATTGTATCGTATTTGTTTGTACCGTTTTATTATTTTACATTATATTGTAACTGTTGACATATTTTCCATTTATATATGCGGACTCACTGCATGTAAGTAAGTAAGTAAGTAAGTAATTTATTGTGTTAATACATTTAAAAAATGCTTACACTCGTCCGTCGAAATCGTATAACACATAAACATAAAATACATGAGACATATAGAACAATATTAAATAACATGAAAAATCATTTAGAAATAAAACAATTAAACCAAACAAACAAACAAAAAAAAATACAAAAAAAAATATGAACAACAAAAAAAAAACTTAAGGCGTTAAAGTCTTGAGGTCGTTATCTAAAAACTCTTGGATGTTATATATTGGATTTTCGCGTAAAAAAGTTTTAAGTTTCTTGGAAAAGAGTTGTTCATTTAGAGATTGGAAACAAGAAGGTAAACGGTTATACAACACAGGGCCCCAATAATTATGTGCCGCTTGCGACGTTTTTAATCGTAATCTATCATTATATATTTGATTTTTGTTCCGAGTATTGTAAGAATGAACATTTTTATGCGTTATATAATTTGATTTATTTCTATGAACGAACAAAACTCAGTCAAAAATTTATTGTGATGGAGCTGTTAGAATTTGCAACGATTTAAAGATATTGCGACAGTCCTCCCTGTAGCCAGCATTTACAATATTCCGCACACAGCGCCTTTGCATGGCAAACGTTCTTTTCATTGCTGTAGAATGACCCCAGGCAATGATGGCGTAACTAATGATAGAATGTGCAAAGCTATAATAAACGCACTTTAGAACCTTCACAGAAACTGAATTTGACAAATGTTTTAGCATATACGCAACAGATGCCAATTTTGCACAAACTTTATTTTCGTGCTGTCTCCAGGAAAGCCTGGCATCGATCTGCACCCCTAGAAAATTAATGGAGGCTATGTCTTTTCTACCAATATTTCTTAAGGAAAATTGAATTTTTTGTGTCTTACTATCGTTTATTACCAATCGATTGGCAGTAGTCCACATTTTTACCGCGGTTAGTGCATTATTAATTTGTTCCTCACTTTTAGTAGGATCAGTGGATGTAACTGTGATGGTTGTATCATCGGCATACAGCGTGAAGATACTATTCCGGTCTGACATGTAGATGTCATTTACATAAATTAAAAATAAAAGAGGTCCAATTATGGAACCTTGCGGAACCCCTAATGTGATATTTCGACAATTTGATTGTATGTTATTATATTGCACAAACTGTTTACGATTATTTAAATATGACCCTATTAACTGTGTGCTTTGACGAGAAAAATTATAAAGTTGTAGTTTTCCTAACAGTACATTGTGAGGCACTAAATCAAACGCTTTCGTTTGGTCGACAAATATTGACGTGCAAAACCTACGTGCCTCTAAGCTATGTATTACGTCTCTGGTGTAATTAAGTATCGCCGTTGTTGTAGATAGACCTTTCCTGAAACCGTATTGATTACTAGAAAAAAAATTATTTTCTTCCATAAATTTAGCAATCCTATTTTTTAAAATGACTTCAAATATTTTAGAAAAAACAGGTAAAATAGATATGGGTCTATAGCTGCCAGGTGCATTAATATCACCCTTTTTATAAAGGGGAATAACGCATGCTAATTTTAGGACATCTGGAAACGTACTGCATTTTAAAGATTTAAAAGAATCCCTAACTTCAATCTGTGACAACGGTGCACACACATTTAATGGAGATGAAGCCGTGCAGTGGGATGATAAATAAGATAGAGGATCAACATCACTGCTTCTCATATTATTAACTAAGGTAATAGCATCATTTATAAAGCCTTGATTAAAGGATTCCGCATCTATTTTGGAGGATTCAACAGTAGTTTTGGACTGACCTTTGATGACTTTCCAGATGGCTTTTGAAGAGTTTGTACATTTTAAAATGTACTTGTCGTGAGCTTCGATTCTAGCTTTTCTGATAGCCAAATTGTACTTACGTCTAAATGATCTTAATATTGATTTAATGTATTCACTTGGAAATTGAGAATAAATATCCTGTAAAAATTCTAAAGTATTTCTCATGACTCTCAATTCATCATTGAACCATCGAATAAGAGGGGCATGGTGAGTACTCTTTACATTTTTTTCGGGAAATGCTATATTGCATGCAGAGACAATTGTATTTATAAAGGTATTGAATTTGCATTGAACGTCGTTATCAGTATCTTTAACGAATTCAAAGCTACAATTATTTAATATATTATATAAAGCTATTTTACCAACCGTTGTAATCGGACGGCATTTAATTGGACCTTCATTTTTAATGGAGGAATTTTTTAGGGAAAGATTGACCTTCACACCGGATGTACTGTATATATAGTGAAAATAAAAATATACTCTACTCTATAACACAAATGATATGGATTTTTTAAAAGATTTATCATGCAGGCAATTCAAAACAGATTGTAAAAACAACAGTACCGCTATTATTTAGTATACCAATATAATATTTCATACCCGCTAAGGTGTGTGTCAACGTAAACTAAACGACGATAGGGGAAACATTAAATTTAACAACTTACCAACTACCTAACAACGTTTAAAATCGTTAGTAGTGCTCAACATGGCTTTATAAAAAATAGATCAACCGATACGGCTTTATATGACTTTATGACCGAAGTAATTTCTGCTGTGGATCGTCGTATGTTAGTTGCAGGTCTCTTTATTGATTTTTCAGCGGCGTTTGATACCGTAAATCACAGCACTTTAATTGCGAAAATGTATCATTACGGTATTCGTGCCACCGTTCTTGAGTTATTTAAATCGTACCTGTGCAAGAGATGGCAGAAGGTAGAACTGAAAAGTGGTGAACGTGGTGACGCGTTAACTATACAGTCAGGGGTACCACAGGGTTCAATTTTAGGCCCTACATTGTTTATAATATATAGCAATGACCTTATCTTGTGGAAAATAACAATAGTAACAATGTAACCGTCATTTCATACGCTGACGACACTAACATTTTAATTAAGGCAAAAACAACGTCTGATCTTACTTTTATAATAAAGCATACGCTGGATAAACTACACCGATGGTGCATTAATAATAAAGTGATTATTAACTTGGACAAAACTGTGTTGGTTCCTTTTGGAAGTACACGTAGTATCTGTAATACAAAAGATCTTGGCGTTGGAGGCTTAACCTGTCTAGAGTCGACAAAAATACTTGGCCTGACTGTTTATAAGGATGTTACATGGTCCTTGCATATTGATAACGTATGTAAAAAATTGCGAAATTGTTGCTACTCGCTAAATGCTTTAAAACATCTTTGCACTAGATCTACGCTTCTCACCCTGTATCATTCGAACTTTCACTCGCACATTAAATACAATATAATAAACTGGGGTGGCAGTGCTCAAGTACAACGCGTGCTGATACTACAAAAACGGGCGATTAGAACCATCTGCAATCTACCCTTCAGAACTTCCTGCCGATCATATTTTAGAGAATTAAATATATTAACAGTTGTAGACACGTACATTTTGGAAATATGCTGCTTCGGGTATAGAAATAAGACTCGCTTTATTCAACCTGTACATCAGTGGCGGATTTACATACAGGCACACTAGGCACGTGCCTAGGGGCGGCAGCTTTACAGGGCGGCATTTTTTGCACTATATTTATTTTAGGTAACATTTTAAGTTTTAAAATAAGTCCCCTATACAAATGGAAATAGTACATTATATATCAAGGTAGAGAAGTCCACTATTATTGCCTGAGCACCAAGATTACATCTCGAGGCGCTTGCGCCGAGGGGTGTAAGGTGCGAAGGCAATAATAGACTTCTCTACCGTGGTATATATACTATTTTTTTCACTACTAGCACTTGAAATCCTCTAAATTAACATATTATATTGATAAGAGAGTTAACGGTTGGACAGAATTGTTTGTTTCTTAATTTAACATGTCAATCAAGTACGTGGAAGTACAAGTCAAACAGGCCGTATTTTGTTCTGTCATTGAGATTTTTCAAAGAGTAATTTCGTTCGAATTTTTTCAAAATGTGATAATTTTAGGTATGTAATTTCTCTGGAAATTGCGAATGGTGGCAATTATTCGTTTTAGAGAACTTGTCTAAACGTTCATTGAGCGAAATTTCGGGTTGTGTTTTCTAAAAGTGACAGCATGACAGTTTTCATTATTGACTACTAGTTAATAATAAAAAATTATTAACCACTTTGAACAAATGCCGAGAAAGCCTACTTTACAAGTGGAAAAAAGGTTAATAATCATGTCATCAGACGCTAGTAGTGAAAAAAAATCTTTAATGAAAATTATGAAATAAATTGGATTGGTAGATATAGTTTAAACAAACTGTAAGAACGATAATCGATAATGCAAGTTTTGACGTATGTGAAAACTTAATCTTACGTATACTGTATTTCTTTTAATATTAGTTTTAAAAATTTCAAGTTATAATTTGATTTTTATTACCATCTTAAAATTTATTGCAATTTAAAGATTATTTTGGGGCGCATTTCTTTCGGTGTGCCTAGGGGCGCAAAAAATTTAAATCCGCCACTGCTGTACATAATTATAGCACCCGACATAAAACTAATCTAAACCCTAGTAAACATAAGACAGCATTATTCCAGAATAATTTCATTTATCAATGCTGCAAAATTTTTTTTATTATACGTGAATCACAATCTCCGTTTTAAACACTCAAATTAGTGCGAA